TTCAGAATTGAATTGCTTTGCCATGTATATCGGTACTTATCGATACATGAGTAAGGTTATTCAGGGTACATTTTTGGTGTGATATTTCAGTATTTCTATAGCATATTTGATTTCCAATTATAGAATTCAGATTATTCAGTTTTCAGTATAAAACTTTTTGCTTATAGTATTAAACAACAAAATATTTCAAAGGATTTTACGACGCAATCATATTTAAGTTTTTGAGAGTAACATCAGATTCATCATATTTAAGTTTTTAAGAGTACCATCAGATTTCAGAATTACTCAACGTTTCAAAAGAATAAGAATTTTTAGAAAATATGCATAAATGGAAGAAAAATATATACTTAGTTATAAACTATCTACTCACTGAATTACAAGCTCATATTTTTTTGTCATCTCTTTCCTTATCAGGTAGTAGCGGAGTTGAGCTGCTTCGAAGCTTGTTGATCTACGGAGTTGAGCCACCCTTTTGCCTTCATTGTATGATTCATTTTGTCAACTTATTTAGTTCATATTTCTTTTGGGATGTATGTATGTTGTGTCAGAAAAGTTAAATAGTAGTATATGTATCCATATCATGAGTTCAGTGCATATTGGGTATCTTGAGAGTACGTTTGGAAACTTCTGTTGTAAAATATTTGTAAATATTGACTTTCAGTATTGTATGTTGAATAGTTTGAGTTTTGAGGGGCTGGTGTACCCTATTTTAAATTATATGTACTGGTTGGAGATTTTATTTTTTTTTGATCAGTTATTGGTTGGAGAATTTTGATTATTGTTCAGGTGGTTTTAGTCCATGTTACAGTGGAAATTATGTCAATTTTTTTTATAAAAGTAGGTTATAGTTTAAACATGTCATAGTCATCTTGATGGTGGGTCTGTCACTTAGCTGGTATTTATAATTGGCCCATTAGAGTGACTTGGGACGGATCGTGTTAGAATGTTATTGCAGTTGTATGTATAGAGAGAGAGAGAGAGATGAAGTAACTTCTGTAGGTAAACTCCAAATTTAGGTTGGCCTAATTCATCGACATAAATATATATTCATTTTCTTAACCTACAACACTTAAAACGCTCTCACTGTCTCTTGTTTGATTCAGGTGGAAACACTTCTCTGCCTTGTGCATTGTAGTTTCCGTGTAAGCAATCAAATGTGGCTCTTGTATATGTGTGTGTATATATATATATATACACACACATACACATACAACACTTTTTCTAACCCATCTAGGCGAAACTACTGTTAAACCACCTTAATGAAAGTATGAGATTTAAAAGTGTAGGTTAAAAAATGATTGCCTTTGTTCTATTCTTGTGTGTGTGTATATATATATATATTATTATTATTTTTTTTTGTTTAATTACAAACTTGATGCAATTTTCTCTTAAATACATGACATTAAACTTGAACAATGAACAAGAAAAATAAGAGAATTTGAATAAATTTTATATTTATTATATTACAAAGAGTTACAAATAAA